GACTCATGGATGACAGCTCCCAGTGGGTACCGATAAGCTGGCCAGCGGCTCAGCCGCATTTGGAGAGGGTTTCACTCGTTGGCACGTCTCACGCGTGCGCACATAAGTGCTCGTCCATTTGTACAACTTGGGTCACCAATAGTGGTGACTCACAGGTTTGTACGTTTTCTCACGACCGAGATGACCACTGAGTGGCGTGTCGTGAGCCTTATAGCGGATGCAGTATTCCAAATCCTCGTCATGAGGAACCACAATTCGTGGTATATGCGTTGAATCGGTGCTATAATATAGCAACCCGTTATTTGACGAATATCGGTGCAATCGTGCACGCAGTCTTGGTGACAATTTCTTGTCCAAGTCTCCAAACTCCTTGCTCTCGAATGCCCGAAGCAACGCTACACATATCCCATCACCCGCATACGTGGGGCGGATCAAATCCGTCACAGACGACGTTACAGTTGTAACATGAGCAAGCTCATAGTCTGTTCTGCGTGATAGCATCAGCTAAAGCATTCTGCTCACTCGGCTTATACTTCACCTCGAAGTTTTATTCCGCAAAGAAAGATAGCCATCTACTTATCCTCTGCGAGAGGTGGGGCTACTGACTCGCAGTGCGTAGTGACGCATGATCTGTATAGATCACAAACGGCTTGGAGCTGAGCAGGTGAAACTTAAACTTGACATGTGCATACTTCATCGCAAGTAGCTCCTTGTTGTAAACTGGGTAGTTCTTCTCTGTAACTTTGAGCTGTCGAGATTCGAACGCGATCACCCGATCTCGCCCCTAGGCGTATGCTCGCAGCAGTGCACAGCCGATGGCAAAGTCCGAAGCTTCACAGACGACGCTGAATGGACGATCGGGGTCTGGCAGCGCCAGTATCGATGCATGCAGGTGGCTGTCTTTGACCCCGTCAAAAGTCTCCTAATGTTCGGTGCTCCAACACCATTCCGCATCATTTTAAGAATATTGGATAATGGCCGGGTCATTTTTGCGTAATTTACGCTATACTTGTGCAAGTAGTTGGCGAAACCAAGCCACTTACGCAAGTCCTTCTGGTTCTTTGGAA